GTTCTCCCCACAGACTCCTCCCAGAGGGGTGCCCTCTGGGAGGAGTTCGTCCAGTGCCGGCAGGCTGCCAATTGTTTAACGTCACTAGTTATTGATTCATGGTAGTTCTTGAACACACGTATCAATAACTAGTGACGTTAAACAATTGGCAGTTCCCCTCCAGGAGAAGTCCATTGGGAGCACAAACAATCGTGACTGCCACCATGACGGTGCATGTATATTTAAAATTGCAGGTAAAATTTTACCTAAGAAAACTATTTTGCCATTTAGACAACATGTACCATAACAATGAATGGGCTCTAAGCAACAGAGTGGTTACATTTGCTTAAACAATGTTGTCACCTAGCCAACAAATACAATAATAATCATCAAAATTTACCACCCTTTGTCAGAATTAATCTAAGTGGTTATGATTTAACTAACTGCATGATAGGTCAAAAAGTACAGACATTTTATTTTTTCTAAGTATGGTACAGATACAGATAGTCCGTACTACATATGGATGTACGGTAACCTTATATTAATATATTTGACACTCCATGTCCTTGCATTTCTATAAAGTTGCCATAAGTTCAAAACCAGAAGTGGAGATATTATAAATGAGGTAACATTGTGGTAAAAATTGATAAATTGGGTATTAATTAAGCATTGGGTAGGTGACTTAATTAAATGTTGAAGATGCTAGCTATAACTTGTAGTTGAGCTAGGTACTCCCAGCCATACATTTAACTTAGTGGAATACAATGCAATTGAATTACAAAAATTTTAAGATACCAAATATTAAAACAATTATTATAGTTTTTGATTTAAAGAACAACAATTTTTTTAAGCTGAAGTCATTTAAGCTGGAATAAATGTGGTTAAGATAGTACTGTATTTAGGTCCAGTGGGTAAGGTGTTGAAAAGATTCTAAGAATTATCAATTATTGAACATTTAATATTTGCTGAACCAGTTGTATTTATTAGACTTACACCCAACTGTCCCCATTCATACCCATTGTGGACATGGATATGATTAAAAATAAAGGTCCTCTTATTGCCCACACGATGGAAAGAAAAAAAAAAATGACTAGACTACAGCCAGATGTAATCATAGACATGCACTACAGATTACTAAAGGTTGCATGTAAGGACAGGTAGTATATGTGTGCACAACATCAATAGAAACTTGTCTGCAATTCTTATTTGACTTTTTTAAATATAAATACTGTAGGAATATTTTTAGTTAGAAATGGGGACATTTTGGGAAGAATTTTCCAATCGGGACAAACTGAAAAAGTGGGATCTATGACAACTTTATTCTTATATACTGTAGTTTCATTTTGAATTCATTTAGCATGTCTATAAATATACAAAATATATTTATATAAAATAAAATGATTCCTTACATTCCTTCTGGTTTAAGCATCCAAAAATTTATCCTACATTTTTAAAGGTTCATTCAACTGTTTGTTAGATATCTTATAATCTGAACATCAGTGTCAATTGGTATAAACTGCATATTGGAGGTTGGGCTGATGACGAAAAGGAAGATTTCTTATTGTCAGATTTACAATGGATATAAAAAATAAAATGTATTTGTTTCTACTTCTAATTCTGTACTATGGTATAAAATAAATATTGAGGATGCCCCCTCTGTCTCTTATGGATTGATACCCATAAATCTGAACATAATACATGTAATAGTTTATAGTATATTACATATTATTGACTGTGGTACTAAATAGTAAATACATCAGCAAATAACCTCAAGTGAGCAATGTGCTTTTTGTCACAAACATATTTTAATTTTAATTACTAGCCATACCCGGTCACGCGTTGCTGTGACTCAAAATGTATCTATTATAAATGTATAGCACTCCCCGCGGAGGGAATTTCGAAAAATCCCTTCTTAGTGTACATTCTCATGACGTACCCTATTAACACGCAATCAAAAATGCAAAATACCGCATCTAAAATAGTATAATAGAAGCCGAATTCTTCACGGTAAGCCTTAATTTTGTCCCTCTCCCCCGGAGGGGGATTTTGAAATCTATATAATATACAAGTTCGGACACGTGAATTTCTTATCTCGCCGACCACGCGACTGTGCCGCGCGATTACCTAACTCATATACGTACTGTACGCATCATGCCCCTCGCCACCCGCTGACATAAAAAATATAACGCTTACCTAGCTAGATGATATCTTTTAATTTATATGAATGTTTAACGGAATAATATACAGCCCATGTCCACCCTGAAGGTCCATTCTAAATATTGGTAAAAGAAATTTTGAAATCGGATGAATAGTTTCGGAGATTACCTGCTACATCCAAACTTACAAACTTTACTTCTTTATAATATTAAGTATAGAAAAGTAAACGATTTTAAAATTATTCCTATAAATTTAAGAAAACATGCAAGCTAAACTTTAAACTGTATTTTCACTTTATACTCATTCCATATTAC